GAAAAAGTTTTAGGTTGTTTACAAATTGCTGTTGCAGAATATATCGTTTATGCAATTCGAAAAATATAGAAAATAGCAATGAAAGAAAAAAACTAAAGGTATTTTTATTTTTATTTGATATAAATAATATTTTGTTTTTAAAAAAGGTATTCGTCGGAAAACGAGAATTAATATAATAGGTCATTCTCTTGGTGGTACGCTTCCTCGTTTTTCCCTTCGATTTTGGCCAGATATTCGATCAATGATAAATCATTTAATTGCATTTGGACCAACAAATCGTGAAACAATAATGGCTGATGCAGCGTGCAGTGTTGTTCGATGTCCTATTGCTGTTATTCAACAACGAATAAATTCTTCATTTCTTTATGCATTAAATTCTTATAAAGAAACATTTCCTCCAATTAAATATACAAATATATCATCAGAATTTGATGAACTTGTTCGACCACTTAATAGTAGTGAAATAAATGCTCAATGTGTTAAAAATATTTCTATTCAAGATATTTGTCGATTAAGAATATTTGCTGAACATCTTGCAGCTGGAATTTATGATTATTGTGGTTATATATTAACAATGAATGCATTAAATTCACAATCATTTTAAAATATTTCATCAGATAAATGTTGTTCAAAAATTTTAATGGCTGATATTAATTTAACTAAAACAGAATTTATTTCTAGAGTTATTTATTCAGCTGAAGAACATGCACGACATTTACTTTATATTTTGGTGAAGTAAAAAATCAACCAGAATTACGATGCCCATTTCGAACTGATTGCATTCAAAGAAAAACAATAGTAAGAACAACAATTTTACTATAAGAATTTTGTTTTTTCAATGCTTTATATTGACATGGTTAAATACAAATAAATACATAATGAAATAAGTTAATTATTTTTGAATAGAGATGAACTTGTCACTCTAATCAATCTTCTATATATTATTAACTGATGAATATAAATGAAATTTTCTATTGAAGAAAAAAAATCTTCTAGAGATATTTAATATTATAAAAGACAATATCCTGAATAAAGATAAATAAAAACTAATAAATTTGAATTTTATTTTATTTTTATTTAAAATATTCACTCGAATAAAATCTCTAACATATTTTATTTACAATAAAATAAAATAAAGATTTACGTGTTTTCCATTGATTGAATTCTAATTTGAATTTGTTGAAGATAATTTTTAAAAGTTTGTAAGTTCGAATGATCAGGTACAAGCATGGGAGCTCCAATATCAACAGCACGTTGCGCATGTTCAACAGCTTCTTTTAAGATCATCCATTCCAACAAATGTAATTGCCATACTATTAGGAATTCTAGCATCATTCGGATGATTATTTCTAACAGCTTTTTCAGAATTTTCAAGTGCAACTGAAGATTATTTCATTGATTGATGTGTAACACCAATATTATTATAAACAGCAGCTAAATCTGGATGATGAGGTGGAAGTGTTTTTTCTTGAATTTCAAGTGTTTGTTTTTATAATATTCAAGTGCAGCTGGATAATCTTGCATAGATTGATGCATAACACCAATATTATTATATGTAACAATAAGTGATGGATATGTTAGTGAAAGTGATTTTAGTTTAATATCAAGTGATTTTTTTATATAATGTAAGTTCTACTTTATCATAACCTAATTTTCTTTGTATATCAGCTATATTATTATAAGTAGCAGCTAATGATGGGTGTGATGGACGAAGAGATTTTTCTTGAAGTTTTTGTGTTTTTTGATAATATTCAAGTGCTGTATTATAATCTCCTAATGCTAGGTAAAAACAGCGGTTTTATTTTTTCGAAACATTTTCTCCGGAAAAATGTGATCTATTCAAGATCTAGAGTCCATTGAGTAGGTCCTGGACAGAATTTTATTCAGACTTTTTCTTTAGGAGGGACGACTTAAAACTTCGAGAAGGCGAACATCTATTTTTTCGAGCACACCCTCATGGTCTAATACTCACGATCTCTGGAAGGACTAATTTCAAAAGGTCATTTAAACGAACGTAACAGGAACGTATCATTTTTTTTTCTTTTAATTTGTATCTCGCTTGAATAAATTATTTGATTTTAAGAAAACGCAAAGAAAAATTAAAAGATACAATATTATATTTATCACAAAGAAAATCTGAAGAATCATTTAACGATACAATATTATATGATCATATCAGGAACGAAAAAAAAAACGAAGAAAAATTAAAAGATATTATATTATGTTTATCACATCGAAGAGAAAAAGAAATCTGAAGAAGAGTTTACAGGTACAATATTATATTTATCACATCCAGGACAAACAATCTGAAGAAGAATTTAAAGATGCAATATCGTGTGATCATATCAAAGACAAAGAAAACTCAAAGAAAAATTAAAAGATACAGTATATATAACAACAAAGGCAAAAATTATGCTCCAAGTGTAAATATACGTACTATTAACATTTATCTTTTTTTGATTAATTATCCAATAAATCTCTTCCTTAAACTATATATATAAATTCCTATAATAATCCTTTGTCTGAATAATCACATAATGTACCAACAATTGTTCATCATGTTCCTCATCCGTTAAATAACAATACTTTCTTTTGAGTTTCAAGAAAATATACCGAACGTCAAATAAACGATACTATTAAAGAATTGTTGAAATAATTTTGTTTTTGACATAACAACACTTACTTGATCAATTACGTCATTTGGTGTTCCATGTTTACAAATATACATAACCTTATCCCAATTTACAGTAGTTCGTTCAGTCATAATTTGATTTGAAAAAATTTAAAATTTGTATCAAATTATCTAAAGAGAACGGATAAAGTATGTCATATGTCGACAGTTAAAAATTCGTCTAAAGTAGATTATCATCATTGCCGTATAGGAGATAAGTGAATGACGCAAGTGACTGACTGATATTTCTTAGACACAAACATGTTTTATAAAGAAAATAAAAAAGAAAATAAACGCTGGATGCGATAAATAAATAAATGCTTCTAGTAAATGATATATTCAAAAGAATTTCATGTTTTTCTATATCTTTTCTTTAGAAAAGATAAGATCATTATTCTGTATTAATAAACACGATAACACCCGAGAAATTTCTCCTGATAAGTTCTTATATGCATGTCAAATCTAAGAACAAAGAAAATCGGCATAACGTCTCAATGAATCTTGTTTCTATTATTGAGTTTTTTTGTTTATATCTGAACTCTTGATTTATCAATTATCAATAAAAAATACATAAAAATTAAGGTCAAATGTCAACAAATCCATTTGATCAATTAAATGACATATCATAAGAATTTTTCCTCTTGCGTAATGAGGGAAAATTTTCTCCTAAAACTGTTTTTATCTGGTCGTCATCCAGATAACCTGGATAAATATCATCAAAATATAAACTACTAAGACGTGAATCAATTAATGGTTGTTTATTTGGTAATACAACCAGAAATTTATCGAAAATATATGCAAATTTATCAAATTCATTCACTTTATCGATTGATATTGATTGAAGATATAAAATCATATTAAATATTTGTCGAGAAATTTTAATTAATAAATTAGATAAATGATCAAGTTGAAATTTTCGAATATTCGAAAATGAGTTATTTTCAGAAGATATTTTTAAGAAAAATAACATTTCAATTTGTATTACTTCAAATGATGAAAGACAAGATAAATGAAAAAGTAAAGAAATATTTGATGAAGAATAAATACGATTCGAAATCAATTGTTAAATCATCAGGAAAATGGTGAACCAGATCTTTCAAGTCGTTTCATATAAATTGATGGATGATTGATGATGATAATGATGATGGATCTAAATAGAATAAATATTTTTCACAGAACAAATTCAACAAACAATTTCACGATGTTTCATATGACAATCGTTTATTTCTTACATAATCATTTTCTACATATTTTCAGAATAATTCGGTAGATTATATATTTTTCATACTGAAGGTCACGTATAAGATTGTGTTTACTTCGATAAATATTAACGTCAACACCTTTATTAATTCAAAATGAATAAGAATATGCTATTTCATCAAAATTAAGCTTAGGTGGATTATTCATTTCAATAAATAACTTTAATTTATTTATTGAATAAATAAATGATAAATAAATTCATAATTTATCTTCATTAGTAAACAAGTAACGTTCATCGTCAAGGGATTCCGTTAGCCCTAGACTGATAGAATACATGTACGGATGTAAGTAGCATAAAAACCTACATTAAAAAAGTAATACGCTAAATTTATAATATGACCAGTATATCTTAGGCGACCAGAAAATCTATATTTGGAGAATTCTCACTCTAAGTAAAGATGATGCATTTACAAATTTAATTTTTTTTTATCGTTTTTGTTTTATTTTTTATTTTTTTTTGCTTTCATAAATATAAATAACGCCCAATAAGATTAGACATCAATACGATTTTTTTATAATTATATTGGCGCTATTTGTACATACAAAAATATGAATTATATTATTCATAAAATTTGAGTTTTATTAATCAATATTTTATGCTTAAATTCGCGCATTAATTCTAAACTATTATAATAAATAATATATTCATTGATACAACATTGCACAATCAATCCTACAATAATGAATAATTTAAACGATTTCTTTAAATCCATACTGCCCATTTGGTCTGACTCTCACTAATTAAATGCTTTTGTAAGCCGTTTTACACCACTACCCGAATTATAGTTATTCCATTGACATTTTGCCCATGATTATTATGGGTTCATTTACATATCAGTCTTTAGATGGTCATTTGTACCACAGTTACCATGGTCATTTGTACCATAGTTACCATGGTCATTTTGACCATAGTTGTTATTTGGTCATTTGTACCATTGTTACTATGGGCATTTGAACCACAGTTACTGTGGGCATTTTAACCATATGACCATTTGTACCCTAGTTATCATGGCCATTTTGACTGCGTTACAGACAGACAGACAGACAGACACAGGTGAATTTCGGTTTCTAGACCCTAGCCTTTCAGTCTAAGGAAAATACTATCAGCTAATCGACAAAGAATTGTTAAAGTTTCAACATGACGTAATATTCTTGGAATAAATCGAATAATATCCTATTAAGGTGATGCACCTTTCATAGATTTCAAAGATATATCAAAAGAAAAATCAATTAATTTTGTTGCGAATGGAATAGGACTTCGAAGAGTTTTTGTATGAGAAAATTCGCTATCAAACAAAGAAATATTTCAATAAGGAACAGTATGAAATTATAATCGAGAAAGAAATGTATAAAAATCGTATACCGAAGAAAGTGTTATTGATAAAGATCATAGCAATGATGACAATGAACGCATTGATTGATCGATCGATTTCGCAACCATATATCCTAGCTGAAAGAAAAACAAATATGTTTGATTTGAATAAAATACTCATACAAACTGTTTTATCTGTAAAAAAAAAACAGAATTCGCGCTTTGGCAATTTAGTGAGTGTTCATCTCATGAA